CGATCGACGCGGATTCCATTTAAATTGTTACCAATTTTTCATTTCGATTTAATAAGTACGTTCTTCAAATGAATCAAAAATTGATCATCGTGCGTGACCGTAATAACGGGCTCCAATTGGTTCGACATGAAAAATGATATCTGCGTAATCAAACGTGTAATTACAGTCGCACGATAATTCTAAAGAATCATTGCCCCTGGAGATGTGAACAATGATTGCGCCGGATTCGTGAAATGTTACACACGTGCCATACGCGCGATTCCGATGCCGAATTTTAATCAACACGATGCCGCCTGTGAGGATTATTTGTATAATTCAATAAAAGCAATAGTATGCCAGATGTCGCATTAAGCAAACGATAATTAAACTTATATGCGCAGATTCCGTCGATGTAAGTAATTTGATACACGATTTGAACGTGTATTGTAATATTAAATTAAATTATTATACTACATTATTAATTAATTATTATATTATTATATTATTATATTATATATATTATATTATTATATTACATATATTATATTATTATATTACATATATTATATTATTATATTACATATATTATATTATTATATTACATATATTATATTATTATATTACATATATTATATTATTATATTACATATATTATATTATTATATTACATATATTATATTATTATATTATACTATTTATTAATAATAAATTATTATATTATTATATTATATTATTTATTAATATTAAATTACGAACAATAAATATTTCTCTTACGTTCGAATGAAGCACAATTCGGTGTGAAGCATATTGATACGAATACAAATAATAAACACTTGATTAATATGTAATTAACTTTTTAAATATGTTCTTATATGGATGCACAAGTTTACGGCAACAATTGTACGTGAAATTGTTTAATATAATACTATATTTATACAATTTCTGCAACGAAAAGAGCTACTGAAGGCTACGAAAACTTTGAATATTAAAGATACATTGAATTATTAATGAAAATCGCTTTTGGTATACTCCGAATTGTTAACGAAACTCATTTGTTGCGAATTTGTAATGAAACGATCGTTAATCATTGTGCAATATTGAAATATTTAATGAAATAACGAGTTTTATTAGAAATAGTGAACTGTGGCGACATCTGTGTCGAAACGGTCGAATTTGTAGCCACGCAACTTTCGACTGCTGTTCATAGGTGGCGCCGCAATGTCCCTTTCGCTTCAATCTAATCCGTCCGGCTATAACACGGACAAGGTATCGGAGACGTCAGATGTGGATACCATACGGGGTTTCATATCACATCTTCTGAAATACCAACATCTGTAAAAACAAGAGGTTCTCATGCATCCTCTGTCAAAATAGGACAATCAGAGAACTATGTAAATCACATCACATCATCACAGAAATTTTGCTTCTATTTTACAGCGCTATTTAACACTGCTGACATATTTTATTTATACAAATCGTCCGAAAATCTTGAGAAATATCCATTATTCGAGTTAATAATGAACACCCAAGAAATAATAAATTATTACAAAATCGCAGAA